CTTCCTGACTTCTCAGGCATGTTTTCTACTAAAAAGTGGGAAGACTTTCCCATCACCTCTTTGATCCTCCTTCCTAGGAAGGAGTCAGACCTTCAGTCTTAGAGAAGTGACCACCAGGACTGGAGGCCTATATTTCTCAAGTGTTTCCAGAGGCACGTGGGCAGGCAACTGAGCCAGCTCCTTGGCCAGATTCCCAGAGAGAGCCGTCACTGTGGTTGATCCATCTTCCTTGAGTGGTTTCTCCATTCCCCCACGGACCCCTCTGTTTCATGTTTCTTTCCTAGCACACACACAGTACCCCATAGCTCATAGGGTAACTGTGGAAGGCAAAGCATCACCCCATACTGCCTGCCCACCCTCAGCCCCCGGGAGAGGGCACAACTCTTGGGTCATAGGCAGAAAGCAGTTCTGGGCAGGAGGCTGGCAGTCTTCAGAACCAGGGCTAATGTCACCTCTTGGTCTTCTTTGCCTCCCCCAACTCATGTGTCCCTTTGTCTCACGAGTGCACAGGTGGCACATGACATATCCTTGGCTGTTGGGAAGAGACCCAGGGAACCTCATAAAACAGAGGACCTTGACCAGGCATGATGCTTGAAAAAGCTAGGAATGGTCTTTCTTTTAACTGTATTTAAATAGAGTCAATATCAGTGGCGATTGGATGTATAGGGGACCCTTGAGGTTTTTGGTTTTTTGGGGAGGTGACTGTAGGCTGATTTCTGAGCTCATTGTCATTACCTGGTAGATAAAGGCCTTGGCCAGGCTGCAGGAAGAAAGACTTTGCCTTAAAGTCCCCTCCTTGAAGTCAATGCCTGGGTCACATGTCCCCAGAAGCAGGGCAGTCTGATGACACATCTTCCCTTTCCACTGTATTCCTGTTCCTATGTCAACCGCCTGGGACCCCAACCCACTCAGGTCCTCAAAAGGCGGTTAGTGTGACCTTTCTCCCAGGCATATCCACCATTCTTCCACTGTGGTCTCTCCTATGCAAGCCTGTACTTCACCCCATCCTTCCGATGGCTCTCAAGACAGAGCCCCGGCCTCAGTTTCCTCTGGAGTTGCGTTTCATACTCTTTTGCAAGGCGCCAGAAAGAATTAATTATTCACCACCCAATACCCAGGGATAATCGCTGCCAGTTCTGGCGCCTTCCCTGAACCTCCTCTCTTCATGCATCAGCATGAAGAGATTTTAATTAAGACACAAGCGCACAGTCTACACTCCTGTGTGTCCTGCTCTACCCACGGTTTACTGTGCTCACATGCTTGTGTTCTTAAAGACTTTTCCTACATTTTTAAGGGCGGCGTAGCATTCTATGACAAGGTGCCCACCATAGGCTGTAATCAGCTTTGGCTTGTGAGCCATCTAAACTGACTCTTGTTTTTTGGTTCTCATGAAATTCACAGAGCTATGTACTTAGGACGATCAATGGCTCTCTCCTGGTGTTAAATTTAAAGAAAGCAATTGTGGTTTAAAGGATTTGTGCTTTTTAATGCGCTTAATAAATTTTTACCAAACTGCTTTCTAAAACGTCTTGACTTAATTACATTTCCACAAGACATGGGCGAAAGTATCTTCTCTCCTCTTCACCCCACTCCCTTCCCCTGCCCCTCCTAATCTTGTAAATGAAGAGACTGATCATTTTGAGGGATAAGATCAGGTTTTGTTCTATTTTAAGTTTATCTGCTCTCCAGTGAGCCAAACATTTACGCCGAGTGTTAATTTGCCATTGGTCTTTTTTTAAATTATTATTATTATGGGCACATAACAGATGAGAAACCACCTCATCCCCATTAGGCTGGGGTGTGAAGTTCCTGGTTTGTCAGCCCTGGCTTCATGAGCACACATTGACCTCTCCTCGCCTCATGTGTTGGGGTGTGCCTTTCCGCCGTGTGAAGGTGTTTATTGACTGGAACTGCCTCCGTATCCACTTGCTTGACATCTTTTCTTACAGTTCTCGATGGCATTTCAAACTCCACGTATCCCAACTGAGCTTCGTCATTCCCCGACCCCAGCTTGCTCTTCCCGCTGATGTGCTGATTTCCGTTAACGTCAACACCATTTTCCTACTCACCCAGGCTTGAGATGTGGACAGCACCTCAGATTCCAGCTTCTCCCTCGCCCCCCCATGTTCTGCCAGCTGCCAACCCCGTAGGCTCTCTTTCTGTGCTGAGCTGGCAGGCAGCCCCTCCAGCACCCCAGGGGCTCAGGGGCTCATTATTTCTTGACTGGACTTTGAACATAGTCTCTTAAACTACCCCATGGACACCCCTTTCTTCTTTGCTCCGTCCTGTACTCTATGCTCACATTCAATTTCCAAAATCCGTGTTCAAACTCGGGGCCCCGCATACACGGGGCCCATCTCTCTACTGTCTGCGGTATTTCATTCCGCCCTCTTAGCCTGATCATGACCTTCTCTCAGCCGAATCCTCTGCTATCTCAGCATGTTCTCCCCCATCAAGTTCACAACCTTCCCACCCCCTATCCTCTCTGCTCAAAGCACCCCTTCCTCTTAGAATTCCCTCCTGTCACCTCTACCTTTCAAAATCCATTGACAAAGCTCCCCGCTCATGGCATGGCAACTCGGCTAGGATTCCTTGACTCACAGTTGAAGGGAATTCACCTCTTGATGTCTGACTCTCTTTTGTAGCGTGTGTTTTATTGTAGCTTCTGGTGAGGTTGCTAGAGGTCTAGGAAGCGGAGCCTCTGGGGGACTCCTCCCCCCAGGACTATTTCTTCTACACAGGGCCTCTCAGCAGCAGGCCTTCAGCAGCCTGTCTCTAGAATTCAAAGCAACTCTCAGTAGCTTAATGCTTGTGAGTTCAAGGCCGCTGTGAGAAGAGCACGTCCAGGGTCAGAATCCAAGTCTACTTTGCAGAAGACTGAGTGGCCTCTGGGACAAAGCACCACCATGATCACCCCCTTTTCCTCGTGACTTATGGCTATTTATTCAATGCCCTTCTCTTGTCCTTGGTCAGGTTCTCCATCCCTTTGCCTCATGCAATGTGTGTCATGTGGAAGTTACCTCACAAGTTGACTGTTGAGGACAGAAAACGAGGGAGTTCCAAGCAAGTCTCAGTCCTTGGACTGAGAGTTGAATGATAGCTGGAGGGCGCGGGAAGCCCCCTGACCTTGTCACACAAGTTCCTGGACCAGTTAAGAGTTTTTCTCTCCTTAATGTATTTAAATGGAGTCAATACTGGGGTCAACTGTGTGCACAGCTGTCTTCGGCTCTGGAGGTGACTCTGCAGCCTGCACGGAGTGTGCGATTGACACGGTCTATTTTTAGCCTCCCAGAGACCGTGACCAACATCCCAAGCGGAGGGTGGGTACACCTGCAGCATTATGATGAGGCAGCCCCACTTGTCAGCCAGCCTGGCCTCTCCTCCACCCAAAGGCCTGTGTTGCTAAACTGGGAAGTCTGCCGTTTCTTAGGGGCAGCAGCCCGGATGCACCTTAAGAACAGGGCACCAACTCTTCCCCATGCAGCTCATTCCTGTCTAGTCTCAGACACAGGGTGGTCTTGAGGCTATGCCTGAGGAGGGAGGGAAGAAATCACTTATATTTCCCCATCTGCTCTGTCCCAGGGGCTACCTTTTCCCTTGACTGTAAGTCTGAATTGACCTAGTTCATGGAGAGGCAAATTAAGACAGGACAAGGATATATATGTGTATATAATCTATATGATCCAGATGGTAGTAATGACACTAGCAATAATAAAGAAGCCTTTATTATATGTACACTATGTGGTTATCTAGTGCCACTATGTGGTTATCAAGGCGTTAATGCCTTGATTCTTGCAGAGAGGTCTCTCTCTCTCTTTCTGTGTGTGTGTGTGTGTGTGTGTGTGTGTGTGTGTGTGTGTGTGTGTGCATACATATGTGTGCACATATATTTGGATCCCAGAGGTCAACCTTGTGTTATTCCTCAGGAGGCATCTACTTCGTTATTTTGAGGCAGGGTTTCTTACTGGGTGCCAGGGTTCACCCATTAGGCTACACCGTCTGGCCAGCGATTCAGGGATCCTCCTGTCTCCACCTCCCCAATGCTAGGATTATGCCTGGATTTTTACATGGGTGCTGGGATGAAGCATGATTAATAAAAACTCATAGACAGATATTGGGGTTCAACTTGAAGACCAGAAAAATCAAAGCAGTTAGCCACTGACTCTTACCTCAACCTCAGTCCGAAAATGGCAATCCTGCCTCTAGGAAACCTCAGAGTGAGACTGGAAGTTGTCTCTTCCCGTTTACTAATTCTCTCTAGTTCTGGGATTAAGGGCATGCATCACTACCTCCTGGTTTCTATGGCAAGCTAGTGTGGCTACTGGGATTAAAGGTGTGTGTCATTGCTGCCTGGTCTATAAGGCTGGCCAGTGTGGCTGTTTTACTTTTCTGATCTTCAGGCAAGTTTTATTTATTAAAATACAGATGAAATGCCACTACACTGGGATTGGGTTCATGCTTCCCTGACAGTCCTTTATGCACTGAGCTATCTCAATGGCTCCTTGGGGGGTTTCATTAGGCCCTGTATTTATCGAGGAGAGAACAGAGACGTGGTGGTGGTATACACAATCCCAAGGTCACACAGCCAGGAATTGGGACGGAATCCTGGAATCTTGAAATTTATGGCCAAATGGATGGCTCTAGAAAACATCATACTGAGTGAGGTAACCCAGACCTAGAAAGAAAATATATGTGCTCATTCATAAGTGGCTTTTAGATATAAAGAAAAGAAAAACAAGCCTACAATTCACAATCCCAGAGAACCTAGACAACAAAGAGGACCCTAAGAGAGACATACATGGATCTCATCTACAGGGGAAGTAGAAAAAGACAAGATCTCCTGAGTAAATTGGGAGCATGGGGACCTTGGGAGAGGGTAGTCGGGGAGGAGAGAGGAAGCGGGAGAGTGGAGAAAAATATATAGCTATAGCTCAACAAAAACAATAAAAAAAGAGAAATCTCTGAGACAGGACTAACTTGGGTCCCTTCTCTCCCTTTAGGTGAGCAGCGCCCCCCCTCAACCCCCTCAACCTGTCATCCCAGCCAAGCCTGTACAATGCGTCCACCACGTGTCCACACAGCCCAGCTGCCCAGGACGGGGCAAGATGTCCAAGCTGCTGAATCCCGAGGAGATGACATCAAGGGACTACTATTTTGACTCCTATGCTCACTTTGGGATCCACGAGGTAACACACTCAGGTTGGGGACCAGTGGGACAGGCGTGGCCCTGTCATTTCATTCTTGTTCTCAGAGGTGACAAAGCATGTATGTCTAGCTCTCTCCCACCTCAAAGTGAATCCCTCTGGTGCCCCTGAACCTTGACCTCTCCCCCTTGTGTGGCTCCCTTCGGGACAGCCATGGCCAAGGCAGGGTCTGGAGCAGGTGAGTAGGTAGCAGTGGGTGTTTGTGCATTCCACCTATAATCCCAGCGCTTGAGAGCCTAAGGGGAGCTCAGAGGACTGTTGAGGGTTCGAGACCATCCTGGACTACATAGCGGGCTCCTGGTCAGACTGAGTTACAAAGTGAAACTGCTATTCAAAATGAATGGCAGTAAATTGGGGTGGGGCTACCATGGGGCGACTTGAGCTTATGTTTTACCTTATGGCCCTATGCCCGTCTCTAACCGCCAGTCCCAGACATCCTGAGGGGCCTGCACATCACTGATGCTGACAAGGAGTTGAAGTGCTTGCAGCTGATGCACTGAGGCTATCCTGGACTCCTGGAGGCTGTGATGCCTATTAATTTATCCAAGGGGCATCTCCAGGGGAAGAACCAGGGTGAGGTCTTATAGACAGGACCCCCCACCTCTGACACTCTGATTCCGTCTTTGCAGTTCTCAGGTGAATACTCAGCCTTGTGTCAGCCCCCAAACGGAAGCAAACCTTGTGGCTATTGTGGGTACAGGATGGAACTCGATGCCACACCTCATTATATAATTGCCTAGCATTGTCCCAAACTGCTCCCAAAGCAATTAGCGTTGGCTTCCACTTGCGGAGTGCTGGGCATGGTTCTAGTTGTGACCTACATGTCATTTTCATTTTATCCTCATAAGAACCCGTGAGAAGGATATCCCCACCATCCCTAAACACAGGGAAGAAAGTCCTGGGGAAGGAGGCCATGTTTGCTGACTGAGACTCCCAGCTGTGAGGATGTCTTTGCAAACCGACCCCTGTGGCTCCCTGGCAATGAGACAATGCTGGAAGGTCTGCTTCCATCCAAATTGCCAGGCTGCTGCCAGGGAGGTTTTTAATATCAGCAGTCAGCGGTTTTGAGTTGTGAAATGCTTATTGTGTACTGGGTGTTGTTCCAAGCAGTTTGGATTATTGGCTCATTTGCTTCTCGGATTAGCCTTATGCTGCTACTGCTATTATGGTCACAGGTGATCCAGGGCCTTAGCAACCAGCCCAGCCCTCATCCTAGCCGTTGTTCTGCATGAGACTAGTGGAGACAGCTAGGAATTCAGCCTTCCCATTAGGCGTATGGACTTCATTCCTAACTGCTCCGTTACACACCTTTTAAAATGTTTCCTTCCTCTGTACTCCCCGACCCCCACAGAAATCTTAAGGGTTGAGCAGACTCACCTGCTTCTGTTGCAACCTTCGCGCTCTGTGCAGGCAGAACGGAAAGGTGAAGAGACTTCTCGTTCCCTTTCTTAGATCAAGGCCTCTGTCTTGCCTAGTCTAGGGAGGTTGGAGGTTCTCTGTGTTGCTCTCTGTATAAATGATGAGCCTGGGCCTGTGGGGAGGGTTGGGAACCAGGATTCTTTACCAAGGGCCCTGGTCCTGGAGGGGCCAGATGCCTGCTCAGGAATGCGGGTGCTCCCTTGCACCATCCTTGGTCCTGCTTCCTGTCCAACAGTAACCCATGCTAATGCTGTGCAGACTCTATGCAGCAGAAGGGACCGTGACAGCATCCATCCTTGAGAAAGGGTTCACCCATACCATGGGCTCCAAGGGCCTGTAGTTTTGGTTTCCCTTCTGGGCTGGCACTTGTATGTTTTAGTTAATATACTATGGCTGTGGAGAGACACCATGACCAAGGAAATTTACAAGAGAAGGCGTTTGATTGGGGATTGCTTTTGGTTTCAGAGGGTAAGTCCATGATCATCACAGTTGGAAGCATAGCAGCAGGCATGGTGCTGGAGCATGAGAGAGAGAGAGAGAGAGAGAGAGAGAGAGAGAGAGAGAGAGAGAGAATGAGACTGAACCTGGCATGAGCTTTTAAAGCTTCAAAGTCCACCTCCATGACAAATTTTCTCCTACAAGGCCCCATTTCCTAAACCTTCCTAAACATTCCACCAACTGGGAATCAAACATTAAATTCATGAACCAATGGGGCCATCCTCATTCAAATCAGCACACTTGGGAACTATATGAAGAACCCTGAATGGCTGGGCCTGCCTGTAGCTCACCCACTGGCAACCAAGCACACTGGGGACAGTCTTCCCTGCATCTCCACATTGACCCCAGGAAGCCCCTCTGTGAGTTCCTGGGCCAACCCTAGGCCCACAGCTGCCTACAGTGAAGCTTTCCTGGGCTATTTTCGGTCTCTGTAATTCTTTCAGGACTTGACATCCCTGTCCTCCCCCAACCAACACACACACACTGTGACCTGGGGCTTGCAGTTGTCAAGGCTTTGAGTGTGTGTGTGTGTGTGTGCGCGCGCGCGCGTGCGCGTGGTCTGTGTGTGTGTGTGCGTGTGTGCATGCATGTGTGTGTGTGTGTATGTGTGTGGGGGGCATGTTGAGATGGGCTTTCACTATGTAGCCAGGTTGGCCTTGAACTGTGGCAATCCTTTTGCCTCAACCTCCCAAGTGCTTCCTAGACTGGTTCTGCTTAGTGTAACATGAGGGGGCTGGCTTGTTGGGGTATCTGTCCCGCCCGGTACCCCACGCCGACATGCCCCAAAGAGAAAATCAATCACACAGAGATCTCTATAAGGTTATAAACTGATTGGTCCATTAGGTCAGGCTTCTTGTTAGTTCTTATAACTTATATTAACCCATTATTCTCATCTATGTTAGCCATAATGGCTCCGTACCTTTCTCTGCTGGGCAAGTTACATGCTGCCTCTTCGGTGGTCTGTGCAGGAGTGGCTAAGGGAGTTTCCTCCTCCCTTGCCTTATCCTATTCTCACTGCCCTGCCTCTACTTCCTGTCTGGTTGACCCACCTATACTTCCTGCCTGGCCAATCAGCGTTTTATTAAAATACATGATTGACAGAATACAGAGAATTCTCCCGCACCATTTCCCTCTTTTTTTTTTTTTTAAAAAAAAGGAAAATACCCATAGTCCATTTGTTAGGAATGTGGGCGTAGTATTTCAGGCTACTTCCTGCTGGTTGGGGGCGCTGATGATCTTATGGGAACCTAAAGAAAATTTAGAGTTATAATCAAGTCCTGACTGAAGTATCCTGTGAGTCTTGATCATCTCAGGCAGCAGTCTTGAATCTGTTCTGGATGTATAACTCAGACGTCTGGGCCATCTGTTCTTGTTGGAGATTTCTCAGGTGGCCTTTCCATCCACGGCTTCACCTAGAGAGGATGCAAGAGGGCAGGGCCAGGAGAAGGTGGAATTAGAAAGCATTCCAGACTATGCGGCTCTAAGAGCCCAACACATCAAAATTTGTAGGATGCTGTTTAAGGCGTATTTACAGTGGTTCTCAACCTGTGGGTCATGACCCCTCTGAGGGTCACATATCAGCTGTCCTGCATATCAGCTATTTACATTACAATTCTTAACAGTACCGAAATTACAGTTATGAAGTAGCAAGGGTCACCACAACAGCAGGAACTGTATTAAAGGGTCACAGAGTCAGGAAGGTTGAAAAGCACTGATTTAGAAGGAGATTTATAGCTTCAAGTGCTTCCATTAGGGACAAAAGTAAAAACCCAAACACCAAAACCCAAAAGTGAAACTTTCACCTTACAAAACTAGAACACATAAAGCTCAAGTCAAAGAAAGGAAATGATACAGAGGGGAGCAGGTCAACCAAAGAGAAACCAAATGGCAACGAAAACCATCAGAGCCGAAAGCTTTGAATTTAGCGGTACACATTAACTGTATAAAGTAATTGATTTCACTGTGACAGTTTCATACTGAATATTGCTCATTTTAACCTCATTTACCCTGATCATTTTTAGTGCCCCCCTCGATCCCAAACCACTCTTTTTTCCATCTCCATCTTTATAAAGAACAGGAATCGACACATGAAAGAACATACTTACTGCTTTCTGAATCTGTTTATTGCGCTTAGCGCGATGATCTCGGGGGTTTTTCCAGTTTCGCTCATGTGGTGCGCTGTCTTCTCGTTTGTGCGTGAGTACGGCCCCGTTGTGTAGGCACACAGTCAGGAGTGGGTGACAGGATCGCATGGCAGTTTTACTTGCAGGGTTTGGAGGACTCTCCGTACCAATGACCGCTGACAACACTGCCTTCCACTCCCGCCAATGGGTTCTCTTCACCTTCGCCAGAGTGCTTGTTGTTGTTTGTTTGTTTTCTTGACAATAGCCATGCTGACTCAGGTGAGAGAATCTGAACATAATTTTGGATTTCCCTGATGACTAAGAACGCTAATTCTTTTTGGCCTTGAATTCATTGGACATTTTGTCTTCGTCCTTTGAGAAGTATCTGTTCAGCTCCTTTGCACATTTATTGATTGGATTATTTGTTCTCTTGGTTTCTGTAGCTATTTATAGATTCTGAATATTAATTTCCTGCCAGATGTATAGCTGGCAGAAGTTTCCTTCCGCTCTGCTGCTTCCTTGGCTGGGAGAAGCCTTCTCATTTCACGCAATTCCACTTGTCAACTTTTTATTGCTGTTCCTGAGTTACCGAGCCCCTGTTCAGAAAGTCCTTGCCCATGTCTATTCATCAAGCGTCCTTTGCCAAGCTCAGGTCTTGCCCATGAAGATCAATGGTCCATTTGAGTTAGATTTTGTATAGGGTGAGAGATAGGGATCAGTTACCTTCGTCTGCATGCGGATAGCCAGTTTTCCGAGCACTGTTTGTTGAGACGCTATCTTCTTTCCGACAGGTACCTTTCCTCACTTTGTTGCTCTTCGTGGGTTTCTGGGTTCTCTGTTCTATTCCTTTGGTCTCTGTGTTGGCTTTTGCACTAGCCCGTGCTGCTTTTGCCGAGGCTCTTCTGTAGTAACTTGAGATCGGCATGTGATCCCTTCAGCAAAGCCCTTTCTGCTCAAGACTACCCTGCGTTCCGTTCTTCTGTGCTGCCATGGGGACGTTAGGTTTGGTTTTCCTGGTTCTTGGAATGTCACTGGAATTTCAATGGGGCTTGTGTTAAATTTGCTGGCTACTTTAATGTGAGCATTTCCATAGTAGTTCTCCCATGAGAATATTCTCATTTTGGGGTGTTTTCCTGGGTTTCTTCCCGGGGTTCGGTAGATCTCGTTGCGGATGTCTTTTCTCCTGGTGTCACGTTCCTTCCCACACACTGAATTCTGCAAGGCTATTGTGAATGAGATGGTTTTCTGCGTTTCATATTTATTATTGGTGTCTAGAAAAGCTACAGATTTCTGCACGATGACCTAATACTCTGAAAGTGTTTGTCAGAGAGAAGTTTTTCAGAGTCTTTAGTATCTTTCAATAACAGGACTGCGACTTCTGCAAATGGAAGTCAGCTTGCTTTCTCATCTGTCTTTGAAATTTCTCCTCTCTTCTTTCCACTCTAGTTAAGAATTTAAGCATCATTCTGAGGAGGCGTGAAGGAAGTGATCACTCTTGTCTTATTCTCGAGTTTTAGAGAACAAGTTTTCAGTTTCCCCATTCAGCATAATGTGGCTGTAAGTTTGCTGTGTGTAGATCAAAAGTTAGGTTTCAGAGCAGTTAAATTAATAACACTAACCTAGAATATATATATATATCTTTAGAGAGAGAGAGAGAGAGTTAGTGAGCACCCTGAAAAGGTGATCTCTATTATATAGGACATACAATTAAAACCGATGTTGTGGATCCCTAGAACTAAAATGGCCACAAGTGAAAACACAACAGATACTACGTTTCTAAGATGAGAGGCGGGGAACTGGCAGAGCTGATGCAGGCGTAGGGAGGACAACAGTCTGATAATTCCTTCTTGGGTCGTGATGTGGTGCTGTGCCTGCTGTTCTGATCTTTCCCTTTGGTTTTAGGCAAACTGGAGCAGGCTTGGACACAACCTTCTCTTCTTATACCTCTCAGCTATCTTTCAAGTAGACCTTTAAAGCGGGCTTAGTTTGGAATGAGGCACGTGGCCTGCATGTCTTACAGATTCCTCATTAACTACCCAGTGAGGTCATAGTGGTTCCAGAAGGTGTTGCTGGGATGATTCAGTTGCCTGTGATCCAGATGTGATCCTGTGACTCAGGTGTGCTCCCTGATGCCCGAGTCTCCTGACGACAGCTTTCTTTTCCTTCCACTGCAGGAAATGCTGAAGGATGAGGTGAGGACACTCACGTACCGGAACTCCATGTACCATAATAAGCATGTGTTCAAGGACAAAGTGGTGCTGGATGTTGGGAGTGGCACAGGGATCCTCTCCATGTTTGCTGCCAAAGCAGGGGCCAAGAAGGTGTTTGGGGTAAGCATGCTACCCTCCCTTGTGTTGGCTTCCGCGGAGGGGTCTTTGCCTCTGACTTTCTCTGGACCTTCCTACAAAGACCCACCCTGGTTCACTATCTCTTTTTTCGATTTTTGTGCTGTGCTGGGGATGGCACCCAGAGCCTTGAGCATGTTAAGCAACTACGGTCCCACCAAGCCACCTCCCCAGCCCCAGTCCATCTCTCTTGCTAGAGGATCAGAGGAGATGAATCACAGGTCTGTTCTAACACCCTCACTGCTATCACCATCAGCACCACATTGCCATCAAGAGCAGCACCATTACCATCGCTGCTGCAAGCCTTCCTTGCTTCAGGCCTCCTTCTCTCAAACCTCATCAGCGTGGAACCCTGATGCCACGGATCTCAGTGGTCTTGAGGCCATCTGGTGATACTATACTGTCCCTTAGAGGGACACAGTGACAAGAAGGAAGAGAGGACAGGAGCACTGTCCACAGGAAATGGAATCCGAAAGCCAAGGGTCTGATGACCAAGGAAGGGTGGGTCCTCCTGGAACAGAGCACAGGAAGTGGCATCTGCCCCCTTACTTATTATTACCTTTCTAGCCCCAAAGGTAGACATCGGACAAGGCCACCAGAAACCCCTCAGGGACTTCCTGCAATGACTTCTAAAGTCCTCCATGTCAGAGAGCCAGGTAAAGTGATAGAGAGGTCTCCAGAAATGCCCCTAAGCTCCCAGCACCCACAGCACCTTCTAAACTACTAAACTCTGGGACGGGTCTGGACCTCCAACCATTCCCATGAAGCCCTGCTCTCAGTTGACAGTCATTTTTGGGGATCCTGAAAAGACTTTCACACACAAGCGAACAGATTCCATCAAAGGAAGAATCCACAAAAGGCCATTGTGAGTCAGCTTTAGTTACTGTAAGAAAATGCCTAAGACAGTTTCAAAAGATGAAAGGATCCGTTTGGCTCACAGCTTTAAAGGTTCCACTTCCTGGTCACTTGGCTCCTTGGCTTGGACCTGTGATGAACCATCGCATTGCCGAGAGAGCATGTGGTAAAGGAAGGAAGTGAAGGGCTTGCAATCCTAATATCACATTCAAGGACCTGCATCCAATGACCTAACTTTCTCCCGTCAAGCTCCCCCTCTTAAAGGTTTCACCAGGCTAACACCAGCCTGCTGAGGACTGAGCCGTCAACATGAGGGCCTTCAGAAAACATTTATCCAAATCAACTCAAGGGCTGAGAGTTGTCTCTGTGTGTGTACCTCAGTAGAAGGGACTCTTAAGACCAGTCCTGAGAGTTGTCCTGAACCTCCTGTTCAAGAACGTGCCCGCTTTACCCTGCAGGACTTGGTGATGAGACGGAGAGGGACACTCATGGTGACTCTGGCCTAGCACCCCTCCCACCCCCGCCAAGAGCTTAGTTCGTTCTGCCTTTCCCCTTCCCCCTGCTGCAGGATGGTGAGATTAGCTAGCTACTCTTTAAGCTCCAGCACGGAAGCAGGGTCTCCACAGCGGAAGTTTGATCTCTAGGCAAAGTGGTCAATTTAGTAAAATGCCACTTAGCCACCCAATCAGAGGATCAGATCTTAGTTCTCTAGCTACCACGAATTTAATGTGTGGCCGACGCTAAGACCATGAAACTCTCTGAACCTCAGCTTTTCCATCTATTCAGTTGGCTCTGGTTCTAGAGAGGTTAATTTTCACTCAGCTTCAGAGGTCTTGGTACACGGTTGTGGGCCGTGTTGCTCCTGGCTTGCAGTGAGGCAGCTTGTCATTGTAGGTGCATTTGGAAAAACAAAGCCACTTCCTTCATGGAGGCCAGAAAGCAAAGAGAGGAAGAAGAGGAGGAACTGAGGCCTTCATACCCCTCTCAAAGGCATGTCTCCAATGACCTAACTTCCTCTTACTTGGCCCCTTTGCTTCCTCACAGTACCCTGTGCTGGGTCTGTTCCCAGCCTCCAACACATGGGCCTTCTGGGACTTTGAAGGTTCAGAATTTAGCAGGTGGCTGTGCTTTTTAAATCCCTGTCTCTTTTGTTCTGTGTACTTTCTAGATCGAATGTTCCAGTATTTCTGACTATTCAGAGAAGATCATTAAGGCCAACCACCTGGACAATGGTAAGGCCTACTTCTGAGTCGTTTCCCGTGGGGATGGTGGGATAGGGGCTTGCATTTTCTGGTTCTGGTAGCGCAGGTGGGCACAAGAGGGGAGAGCTCAGGACGTGTAGTTTGGGAGAGGTACAGCTCCTGCTGAAACAGCCAATCACAGGACTGTGCCCTGTCGTGTGGTATTCCCCTCTCTTGCTAGTCAGGTGGCATCTGCCCCACCCTAACTGTCAGTCAGCCCTGTCTGTGACTGAGTCCTGGTCACCATGCCCTCTGCTGGGCCCAGCTGGAGGCTGTCAAGTCTGTAAGGTGGCAACTAATGTTTCGGCTTTTCTGGTTCTCCATCCCCCTCCATCCTCTTCGGTCACCTGCCCAGGGGTATCGGCCAGAATGTCTGCCACAAGCCCTGGTGTTGATGGAATCTGTGCTCATTAAGCAGGTCTGGAGAATGAGGCCTTGAACAGGCTGGACTCTGATTGCAAGGAGTGATGTGTTCCCTTCTCTTCCTATGATCTGTGACATCTCTAGCCCCCTCTCAGTGGCCCGTCTTCAGTATGCTCAGACCTGCAAGGGTCCCTGACCAGGCCACCTTCTCATAATTTTTCCTCATCAGCAGGACCGACTACAGAGCTGCCAGACCCAACGGTCAGCATTGGGCCACTGAGCACTTGACATTCCAGGAGCATATCTGGTCCTGGGTGGAGGTGGTGGTGGGAGAGTGGCAGGTAGACCCAGAAGCCACACTGTAAGGAATGGGTTGGAACAGAGGCAGGGCTGGCAGGAGCAGTGAGGCTAAGGTAGCTGGGTACACTGGCAAGGTACGGGGCATGGTCAAATCCCAAAGGCAAGTTCCCATGCACAGTTCCAAAGAATGGGAAGTATGGCACCTGGAGGGATAGGCATCCCTGAGAGAAGTAGGCTGGGTTCATTGGCAGGCCTGGGAGCAAGGTGGACCAGGAGGCTGGGACCCTGGGCAGTGCAGAGTTGGCTGGCCTAACCTTTCCATCTGTAAGACAAAGGATAGAGCCCTGGATGCACTTCCTGCTGTACCCCTGAATTCTTCTGCTCCTTCATAGGGAGCCCGATGTCCCCATGGGTCTAACCCAAGATAGCAGACGCCATGGAGCCCTTCCACTTCCTACTATGCCCTCCTTCGAAGTAAGCCAAAGACCTATTTCAGTGTGGCCTTAGTCTGCCACCTGTACTGTCTGCGGCTTGACCCACTTGCTGCAGACTCCATGAGAGACAGGGGCATAAATCATTCCACAGACTTCTGTGTGTGTCGCCATGAGCCCGACTCTGGGGACAGAGCAGGGAATACAGATACGAAAGAAAGCAGTGCCCAGTCAGAGTAGAGTACCTGGTGACACTGCTCTTCTGATCACTGGGTGGCAGGGTAGCTGGGCTTCCCCTCACGTGAGTTTAGACCCCTCTCAGGCAGCACATCCAAGGTCAAGTCTGAAAAACATGAAGCAAGCAGACTGACAGAGTGTCTGTTTTCCGTGGCTGTAATAAAATATCTGAGATTGGAAAATTTATAAAGGAAAGATTTTTTTTCCTCATCATTCTGAATGCTTGGAAGTCCCAGACTGGCTGGACATATCTGGAAGAGCCTTGTACCACCTCTATTCACCGTGGAAGTGTGGGAGGGCAAGGAGGCAAAAAAAAAAAAAAAAACAAAAAAAACAAAACAACAACAACAACAAAAATAACCCTTCCCCTAAGAGTAGCACTAATCCATTTGCTGGTACTCTGTTCCCATCACCTGACATTCTGCTGGGTCCCATCTCCCAACACCACCACACTCAGGGTTCAAAGATCCTGCACATGAACTTTTGAGGCCACACTCAACCAAAGTACCTAAAGTCCAGAGGAGGAGAGCTTTGGGCAGGATTGAACTAGGCATGCTCACTCAGGCACAAAAAGGCCCATGATCACAGCACGGAGAGGGGAAGTCCGAGAGAGGGGGGCCAAGGTGATTGCACACAGCTCACTCTCAGACAAGGCTGGGTTTCTTTTTTCAGGCCCGGAGATCATTTGGAGGGGGAGCCTTGAGGGTGACAGGCACATCGGGATGGATTGCAGACACCATTAACACAGGACACATTTCCCAGGGCTCCCGAGAGAGATGTGTGACATGAAAGGTGGAGACAGAGGTGGAGAGAACTGAGCTGTGTTGTAGCCTCAGAGCCAGAGGACCTGATGTTGCTCATGGCCTAGGGAGGACTGGTGGGGAGCAACCGACTGCAGGTGTCTGTCTGCAGGGCTCACAGGGGCTTCTCACAGGAGAAGCCAGAGCTGCCTCTCCTGTGAAGGGCTCGAGGTGCCCTGCTTTGGGTACCCAGGTGGATATGTTGAGGAAGACTTGGATCTATGTGTCTAGGCTTCAAGGGCATCACAGGAGACTTCCATTTGGGACCATCGACATGGTGATGTCACTCAAAGCTACTTAGGAGAAATAAGACAGAGATAGGGCTGAAGATAGGGCCACTCATCATTTGGACATGATGCAGGGGAGGAGGGTCCAGCAAAGAAGTGAAGCAGATGCTACCTTGGAGGTTGGTGAATATTCAAGAGCAGCCCAGGGAATGCTAAGGCAAGGCAGGATAACGCCAGGGTAGCAGCAGTGGGATGTGGCCACTTGGTAGGGATTGGTGTCACCAATGAGACTCAGTGTAGCAGGGGCCAGAGTCCAGTTAGAATAGGATTAGGGGAGGCTGTGATGTGGGGACCACAAATACCTTTTCTTTCAGTAATGGAGACCCGGGAAAACGGAGCCGTCACTACAGAGGCTATAGGGGTCAAGGAAGGGAAAAGCTGGGAAAATGTATGTGATTCAAGAGAAATATAGGAAGAGGTAGGTGTGGCATGGATCTTGAAGGGCTTGCTACCGATCATAGGGGAAGGGAGTGACCTTTATCATGGAGTAGGGAGAGTCTAGAGGTAGTAAGTAATGGGGGCATCTGGAAAGAGGTGGCTGGTGGCCTGAGGCCTCTAGTTGCTTGTTCCCATTTGCTTTATGATGCAAATGCAGTCTTAGGCAGAGAGGTAGATAGGGAGAAGAAGGGGGAGGAGAAAGGCTGGGTGCTCTTTGCAGGGCTTGCTAGAGTAGTGAGGATTGCTGGGAATTGTGCTTCTCTCTTAGAGAGCTGTGGACCCTGCTGTGCAGAGGGCCCAACTCTCATTGTTTTGTGAGTTTTCTCTCTCCGTGCTCACTGGCTTTCACGTGTGTGGAGCTGGAGGCTGCCTGGCTTTGATGAGAAGATGGGCGGCGCGGGGCGGTGGGGGGGGGGGAGATCCAGAAAACAATGACAACAAATTGATGACGCAATCTGTTTTGTCAGCTTTTGTTCCCATACTGAAGTACCTGAGACCAGCTCTGTTTTAGAGGTTAAAATCAAGAGCGAGGAAGCAGAGGGAAAGGATGCATGGGGCCAGGCTTGCTCTTTATACGATACCTGTTATACAAAATCTCAGGCTTCTAAGAGAGGTAGCCCATGCTTCTAATGACCTAAGGATGTCCGACTTGGCTCCTCTTAAAGGGCCCACCGCTTTACATTAGTGCAACCCTGGAGACCAAGCCTTTGATACATGGGCATTTTGGGGAAACCTTGGCTCCTTTCAAGATGGGTAAAGAGTGAAGCAGAGTGAAGGGAGGGAAGGTACTGGCAACAGAGGCAAGGCTGGGGCACTGTATGGGTGGTAGCTGTCATGACCCTGAGCAATGCCTTCAGACTGAGCAGGGCAAATGTTGCTCGGACATCCAGACCTCTGGCCTCTGACCTCTGGCTTGGTCTCTAGCATCTCTTAGCTCCCTCAGAAGGCATGTTGGCCAGTCTCTTCTCAAACGTGCTTGACCAGGACAGAGGAGGACAAGCATCTTTTCTACCCACTACTCAGTGGAGAGGGGAAACCAGGTCCCCTCTCTGTATAATGGTGACATAGCCTGGCATTACCAGGCTCCCCACATCCCTTCACCATCCCTCTGAAACGGGCAAGTGAGTCTTCCCAGTTAGCAGATGTAGAAACTAAGGCAAAGAGAGGTGGGAGCTGAGAGGAGCCAGAACCCTAGGCTGAGCCCTTGTTCCTGCACTTTCACGTGCGTTTGTGAGTGGGTGTGGAGCTCTGCAGCATCCACAATCCTGGAAGTGGGAACTTGAGTGTAGACAATGCCGAATCAGATTCGCTGTTAGGGATGCTGGGCTCCATTCCTCGACCCCAGGGGCCTTCCGCTGGCGTGGGCTTCCTTGACAGTAGCTCCCAACCTCTGGGGTCTGCCTGTCCCCCTGTGCTTGCCCATTTCTTTTGCTGCTGACTGAATTGAATTTCTCCTCTTGCTATTGTCACAACACATTTGGAGTAAATTAGTTCTAGGGGAGGGACTTTGAGTTCTTGTAAACATTCCATTCCCCGTTTGCTTTTATCTTTCTTTTTATCTATCTATCTATCTATCTATCTATCTATCTACCTACCTACCTACCTACCTACCTGTCATCTCTAGCTATCACATGTCTATCATCTCTGTATGTCTATCTCTACCATGTATCTTTCATCTGCCATCAAAATCTATCTCCTATTAGCTCTATATGTATTTTCTATCCTGTCTACGGGCTATCATCTGTTTGTCTGTCCCTCAGCTATCATTTTCTTATCATTTCTCTTTATAATTATTCTTCCCTTTACTTATTAGTTTAACACTTTACTGTGCACCCACGCTATACTTAGTAGATGCTGCCAGGCTGTCACTACTTACCCTGATCCTCTGGTCATCCCTAATGGAGTCTCTGAGAGCATCTTGAATCTGGCTCCTGTGCACTTTGCACTTTTTCTATATTCCTGATCTCCCAGTTCCAGCCATTTCAGGCACACGTTGTGCTTCATCTGCCTTTCTTTTCAATTAGTTCCTTCCCCGATGTCCTTGATTGGATGACAGTAACTAGGTATAAAGAAAGAACTGAACATGCTCCATAGCTTTAGGGTGTCTCTGCAGAGAGCTGGGGACTGAGTATGTA